AAGTGAACAAAATAAAGATTTGTTATGAAAACAATTGTTACCTTTGGAAAAACTCCCTTGGAGAAGGTGATCTGTACTGCCTGGCCCTGACCCTGCAAACACTTCGCTTGACACATGCAAGTGGTCACATCGACTCCAGCAATTCTGCTCACGCGAGAAAAGTTAGGTATGTGTAGAAACGGTTGCATGATTGGGGCCAGTGGTTTTCCATTCCCTAATTCGACGTTTGTATATTTCCTGTTCTGTGCCAACAAAAACAAAGCAGTGTTTCTCAGCATCAGAAGACGATAGTTAGGCAGCTCTTTCAGGGGCAGGGAACCATTTTCGGGTCGGGGACCACTGATCCACAGAAAAACGACACACAAGTGAGAAGCAAAAAATAAAAAAATAAAAACCCCTCACTGACATGGCCCCCAACTCAGAAGGAGAACGACACTCCCCACGTTCCCCTGGCACACCAGGGCCTAGGGGGAGCCAGCCTAGTAGATTTTGTGTGCTCCATCCCCACAGTGGGGCAATGGAGGGGCTGGAGCACCAGCGCAGGTTTCCTAATGCTGGGGATGCCCTGAGCTTCGGGGGCCAGATCCAGTCAAGCAGCCCCCTGGTCCTGAGGTTTCCCACCCCTGCTTCATGGCATTGTGGAAATGAGTAGTGATTTTCATGCTTTCACCCTTATTTTCTCTCCTTCACGTCTTTCAGCCCTTTCTTCTCTACACAGAAGCAATTGCTAAAGAAAGTCAGTCGGTTTATTACCAACAGGCAAACAAAAGGAGCATGGTTTTGGAGTTGAACCCTGGTCTTCAGTACAATGTGCCACAAAATACAAGACTTCCCCATTTTCAGCTGAGCGATTAAGCCTTTCCGTGGTGCACCCAATTTGGCGACTCAGTCAGATGATCTAGTATTTGTTCATTCATTGCACGGACAAGTGAAATAAACTTTTAGTACTTGGCTAATATCCATCAGTCAGTGTATTGACCTGACTTTCCAATTCCTCACATCTTCAGCATGATTCCAAACTGACAAAAGCATCTACAGAACATTTTTTTAAACATGCTTTTAAAAAAAAAAAAGTTGAACCATTTTAACCCTTATCCCAGACAGCTAAACTTAGATATACATTTGCACAACTCCCTGTATTTTAAAGTCCGTTAATGAGATGGACCGCTAGTTCTGTTTAATATAGATTTTAATTCTGATTTTAGTGTGGCACAGAAATTCATAAAATTGCAAGTGGGATTCTGAATGTCGAAGTTGGCAGTGGATCAATTTTTGCAGATTTGATGTGGATTGTGTCTGTTGTTTTGATGCTTGTCAGAGTATTTGATGAAATGTCTCCATTGTGTGTATATAATAGGTTCGTCCTCCAAGACCTCATGTCGTTAAGAGACCCAAGAGCAACATTGCCGTGGAAGGGCGAAGGACTTCAGTTTCCAGTCCAGAACAGTAAGTATTTTGTTGCTGCATTTCTCGACATCTGCTTGAGCATGTAAAGGGCCTGGCATTTGTTTATAATTAGCGCTGGTCAAAGATAGGAAACACTTTCACAAAAAAATTCTGAATTTTTATTACGAAACAGAATAGTTTTTCATTGTTTAAAAATTTGGGGCAACATTATAGATGAGAGAAACCTTTTTTTTTTTTTTAAGTGCCAAAATATCTAATTGTTTTTAAAAAAGTATTTTTTTTAAAAAAGCTTTTTGTGAAAGACGTTTTTTCATTTATAAAATTCAATCTACAATTCTGACCAGTTCTGTTTAGAACCTGCCATCATCGACTGGCCTTGCCTCGGAACCAGGAAGAGTTTTATGAGGAGAAATTTAAGGCTGGTTCTATGTGATTGTTGAAGGCCAGTTGAGGTTCTACAGAGAGCCTTATAGGGAAGGCTTTATAGTGTACAATGTGTGTTGGGTAGTTAACATTTCATAATCTCTGTAGATTTGATTGAAAACTTCTCTAAATCATTTTTATAAATAAGTTTCATTCCTGTAACTAAAGGATATCGCACACAAACAACCCACAGGCATTGCGTTCCAGCTTCTTTTGTTGTTTAAAACAATAATGCATCATCATCTGTTATCCCGAACAGAGAAGATTTTGCAGATTTGTCAATGAAAGCTACCAAACAAAGGACTTCATAGAAGATACAGATTTGTTGAGTAGTTTATTCAGTTGCAATAGCCTTTCCAACCTGTAGTTAAACTGTAGGCCACCAAGTATAAATCTGAAGAGAGAATATATATCCCTCTTTAGTAATGCAGCCTAAAGAACACTTACAATATCCAACAGATGTATTTCATGTAGCATCAATTTCCACCTTTTTTTATTATTTAGCAAATTATTTAGAATGTCAATGTTTACACTACCTCCGATTGCAAAAGAAGCGATCACATGGCACTTCTGTTTGCTTACCAAAGTAGTCTGCTAGTTTGCTGCACTCGAGTGTCTCAGTAAGTAGGTGGCCTTATTTCAGTTCAGAATTGGGAAGCCAGCTGCCAGGAACCACTGATCTTAGGCAGAAAACAGTGTTTTGAGCAGTACTGTTCATGTCATGAGAGAGGGGCTTGGCACTCGCCGGGTGAACATTCAGGCAGCAAGGTAAGAATAGTGGACACGAAAGTAAATATAAGTTGCCTGAACCAGACTTACAAAACTAAATGTATATTTTTTCCCTTGGAATGTCTTTAATTGAACGCTTGAAAAGTGAACTTACTTTCCATTTCTAAAATAGCCTTGATCTTAGCTTTCCTTTCCAGCCACTGTCCCAGTAAGCATCCATGTCCTGTCCAGGCCATGTTATTTGTTTGTTCTCTAATTTGAGGTGATTGGTTATCATGGCAGTATTCTAGGTTGCAGATAACTGGTAAATCTGAAACTATTTGAAAACTTTGAACCTGAAAATACTTAGCTTCTGTGAACTTATTTGTTTTCAATTCTGAAGAGAGAGAGAGTGTCACTTGTTGTTTATATTCAGCTGGAAATAGCTGGTCACTTTTAAACCAATGCACAATCATCCTATATTTTTTATAGTGGAATCTGATTGCCCTCTTGTGGAATAGATTGCAAGTCAGTCCAACACAGGGGTTCGCATGGCATATGGTGCTTTGTGGAAGGCTCTACTTGCATAAAGATTATAGTTTTCATTTTTACATAAGGAAATATATTTTGTGAATCATTTCATTAACATACTGATCCTTGAATTGTTGCATGACTAATAGACTGCAGGGATAGGATAAAGGAATTAGTGTAACTACCATTCATATTTTGTAGGAAGGATTACACATTTTTGGATTAAGCTGCCTGACTTGCTCCTAAACTTTATTTACCTTTCATGTTGAATGAAAATGATATAAGATCAGGAAATTTGGTTGAAAGAACTCACCAGTATTTGACATTTATACCGACCAGTTAAATACAAATACTGTTTCCATTCCAAATGTTAATTTTTTGCAGGTTAGTTTGCTAAGGATTCCTGAAAATTCACCAACTGAAACAACAAATCACTAAACTGCTGTATTGTGGAAATGGCTGTGAATGCAAAGTGTGTTGATGATTCTTTGCTGCCATAAACTGACTTGTTATTTAGGCTCATGCTCTGGCAAAAAAAATCACATTTTGGCATTTCACTGCAAGAGGAGTTTTTTACATTTTATGTGACCATCAGGAGCTTGGAGGTGGGAAGGGAGTTGCTTCTGGTGCCAGTGACATTTGGTGTGTGGTGCCAGTATTTTTCTGAATCTTTCTGATCTGTCCCAGCTTCACTGTTTCTCCAAATCCAGATGTCATGTCACAATAGCAGTTGGACGTATTTTCCTTCTCTCCTGTCATCAACTTTAACTGGCAGGATAAACTTTAGCAAACATAGGGAGCCTCCAGCCAGACAGTTAATCCTACAGTATATAATAGACTAGACACCTTGTAAAAATAATTCAAACAAAAACATGCTGGCACTGGGGAGATGAATGAGAAAAGAAAGAGGCGGCAGATGCCGCTTCAAGGTGTTGTGATAGAAGATGGCAATCTTCACCAGAGAGCATGATATGTGTGGCTCCCGAGCATCACCTCGGGCAAGATCTCAAGCCAGGATTAGTGGTGTGGTGGTGTCAGAAATATGCCGCATCTTCTGCTTAATAAGAAAGCTAATATAAATGGCTCGTGCCTTTGAAGCGTGGTTGGGCAGGTGCCTTTGACCAGGAGGAGACTCATTAATCCTAACCGCCCTCCTCACTATTTACCCCAGAACAGCATTTTAAATAAATGAAAAACATTTAAAAGAATAGCTGACCCTCGTTAAAAAGAGGACCTCATGGCCATTTCCTACAAGCCATTATCCTTTGCATTTCCCAGGAGGGGAGAGTGCTCTTGTGTCTCTCTGAAAGGAAACCACAAAGACAGGATTTCTTTCTAACAGCTTACACTGCTTTTCCCTCTTGCTTGGTTTTGGCCCATCTTTAGGTTTTGTCCTTCACGTTGCACTCAGGTGAAACTAGACTAATGCAGCCTTCTGCTATTATCATTCTAATGCACGCAGAAGAGTTCCTTGCTGGTCAGATTTCTCTTGAGGCCAGTTGTCGGCAGAGTTGAACAAAAGATTTGTTTCTTATCCTTTATCTGTAATTTTCCTCTGCCTTTGCCAATGATACAGATTTGTCTTCTGTTTCTCTCTTCAATGACCAGCCAGGCTGCCCTTCTTTTGTAAGGGTGAACCCTTGTTTCACCTAATGCACGCAGAAGAGTTCCTTGCTGGTCAGATTTCTCTTGAGGCCAGTTGTCGGCAGAGTTGAACAAAAGATTTGTTTCTTATCCTTTATCTGTAATTTTCCTCTGCCTTTGCCAATGATACAGATTTGTCTTCTGTTTCTCTCTTCAATGACCAGCCAGGCTGCCCTTCTTTTGTAAGGGTGAACCCTTGTTTCACCTGGCAGTGAAACCGAAGGGTTCCCAGGCACCAGCCTGCAGGCAGATTCCATTTTGTTTTGAGTGTGTCCCCGTCAGCTCTATGAATGGGCTGAAGAGGAAATGAATTGCCTGTTAATGAAACCCACAGATGATACCGAATGGGCGGGAGGTGCAAACACCATTCAGGTCAGGGGAACAAAAACAACGGGATCGAGGCAGGCCAGAAATATGAATGGAATGTGACAAAATGAGAGTCGGCTTTAAAACATGGGAGTCTTTTGTCCAAAGATCATGCAAAGTCAGTGCGTGTGAGAAACCAGTAAGGCAATAATGCCTATGGAGACTCAGGGTGATACAGGACGGCTCACTAGATGTGAATTCGCATAGCGATGTGGCAGCAAAACGAGGCCGGTTCAGTTTTGGTGTGTAGCAAGTGGCGGGGCCCTGGATCTTACTGTACAAATCCCAATAGCCCCCTTGTTTGTGGAAGTGACTGTACGGCTCATGGCACGTTTGTGTTCCGCCCTGCAAGCCCCAGGGTTGGCTGGTCTCCCCTGTGGGTCCAGGAACGGAGAGTGCAGGGCCCTCTTCCAGGAGAATCGTGGTGTGTCAGGCAGGTGCTCGTTTAGCAGGGAGGGTTCAGCTTCAGCCAGAGACGCCCGACCCCAATAGCCCCCTTGTTTGTGGAAGTGACTGTACGGCTCATGGCACGTTTGTGTTCCGCCCTGCAAGCCCCAGGGTTGGCTGGTCTCCCCTGTGGGTCCAGGAACGGAGAGTGCAGGGCCCTCTTCCAGGAGAATCGTGGTGTGTCAGGCAGGTGCTCGTTTAGCAGGGAGGGTTCAGCTTCAGCCAGAGACGCCCGACCCCCACTCGCCCCAGAGTTGGGACACTGGGGACAAGTCGTTACAGCCGCTGGAGCCCTGCTG